GCAGCAGCAGCAGCAGCAGCAGCAGCAGCAACAGCAGCAGTATCAACAGTCGCAGCAAATGGCAATGCATCACCAACACCAACTGCAAGTACAGCACCAGCATCTATCCATGCAACAACAACCCCACCATCCGTCGCTTTCTCTGCAGCAGCAGCAGCAGCAGCAGCAGCAACATATGGCTCTTCAACAGCAATCCATTGCGCTGCAGCAGCACCGGCAGATGCCACTACAGCAGCAGCCTGATATGAGGCTGCACCATCCGCAGCAGTTACCGCTGCAGCAGCAGCCGCAGCAAGATGTCCCTGTGGAGCAGCCCCAGCAGATCTCGCTGCAGCAGCAGCAGCAGCTGCCAACACTGCTACAGCAGCAGCAGCAGCTAACCCGCCCCGCAGGCCTTCCCGCAGCACCGACAGGTTTTGCTGCTGGCTGCTGCAGCGCGTTGCGCGAAGCTGCAGTGGCAGCAGCAGGAACAGCAGCAGGAGGTGCAGCAGCAGCAACTGCTGCTGCTGGGTTTGCTGGTGCTGATGGCGCTTACGGAGGCCCCATTGTTGCTCAGGGTGAGTNGCAACTGCTGCTGCTGGGTTTGCTGGTGCTGATGGCGCTTACGGAGGCCCCATTGTTGCTCAGGGTGAGTGTGAGACACCCCCAGCGCTGCTGCTGTTGCTGCTGCTGCTGTTGCTGCTGCTGCTGCTGCTGCTGCTTGCTGTTGTGTAGAATCAGTTGCATACACTGCATGCAAATGTATATAAATGCAGCTGTACATGCAGATGGAGGGGCGTCGGGCTTTGTTTAGTGTATAAACATCTCCTTGGCTGTCTGTATCATCCGCTCATAACAAGAGAAGCGCATGCACTTGCATGCGTTTGCATGCATATGCATGCGCTTGCATGCGTTTGCATGCATATGCATGCTTTTGCATGCGTTTGCATGCATATTCATGCGTGTGTATATCTTTGCATGCATTTGCATGCGTTTGCATGCAGGCTGGCAAGGAGTAGAAGCAGCTGCTGCCGGCGACGGCGTGCGCGGAGAGGTGCGAGGCCGCCCCTCATGGACCGTCGACGAGAGTCTTCGTTGGGGGCCCCCTGGCTCTTCTGACTGTGCTGGGGGCCCCCCCTACGGCTTCATGGGGGCCCCTGGTGCAGGTGCTGCTGGTGGGGGGGATTGCGGCGGCAGCTGCAGCAGCGGGAGTGGCGATGCTGCTGCTGCACTTGTGCAGCTTCCTCGGGCACCGTTGTCTGCTTCTCTTTCAGCAGCAG